TTGAGTTATTCGTTACTCAAATAAACATAATGCAATTGATTTTGTTCATTGGAAGGAAAGACTTTTGTCCTTTTAGTGAGATAAGTTGAATTATTGAAAAAAAGGAAAGGAATGGAAATAGCGGTCGTTAACTGAGAATTCCCGTTGTATGAATTTCATCGTTGAGGATATATCGGTCCTCTTCAAAGTCTCTTTCAATATTTTGGCTTTTCGAAAATTCAGAACATTGATTGCCTCCAAGTGAATTTTTTAATTTAATTTAATTTTTTTTTGTTTCTAAAGTTGCCATGAATATTGTTCATGCATTGTTCAGTTGATGACATTAATGAAGTTTCGCTTGTTTAATGAACTTAAACAGCCAAGTGTTACAGCTCAAGCAAATGGAAGAAAAGTAATTAATTCATTAATCCAACTTCTGCAGTGTTCAAATCCTTTTTAAGCTAAAAGTTCTCATTTATTATTTAATCACGAATTTATCATTCATGATTAATTTTCTTTTATATTTTTTTGTCAGGGAAGTTGTCACTTTCACGATTACTGTAATCGTAAAACATCAACCGATACCTGTGTTTCGAGCTTTTTATACTCTGCACGAAGTAATGACTAAAAAACTTTGATTTTGTTAAAGAAACTGATATTCTTGTCCAACTAAAAACTTGCGTTTTTGAAAATTAATAAGTCAAAAAAAAAACTCACTTTGATTTTTATGCCGTTTTAAAAATCATTTCGAAATTCAATAAATTTTTTTGAAAAGTAGATTTTTATACATGCGTTTAAATTAAGTTAGTAATTTCATTGCTTGTTGAAAAAGCTTTGATGCTAGGATAAACAAGATTCCCTTTCTTTTAGCTACAAAATTAAGTAAGTTATTAATAAGAGAAATTTTTTGGCCGAGTAAAATGATGAGAATACTTTCTTTTTTTTTTTTGATAGTTTGCAAGAAATTTTTAAGTACAATTTAATATGAAGGGTGAGAAGAGTTCTTCCTGAAACTTTTTCCTGTAAGCAAATGAGTAATAACTCATTTCGTTTTATATTAAATCCCCATGCCATACGCTTCTATAGATAAATCCTCTTCTTGTCTTTCAGAAATTATTAGACATACCAGCTAAGAAAGAGTTAGTTAGATAGAAGCTTAGGATGGATTTTTGATGAACGCTTGGAACGAGAAAAACTTGGATGTGACAAAAAAATACAGCAATCTAATAGGTCTTCGAATTGTATGGACAAATTTCTAGCTTAGCAATTCTTCTCCTAACTTTTGATTATTCAATTACCACTAAACTGATCAATTTCCTTACATTGTATGTCATTAATATCTTTTATTATCACCATCCAATATTTTCAAAATGTACTGGCCCTTTTGGTTTTTAGAAATTCTGGTCCAAAAATAACCAAAGCTAAATTCTTTTTCGTTTATTTTTTTTAATTATACTAGATCATGAATCTCACTTATGACGACTTTGTCGTTCTATCAAAGCGTGACATATGTGATCCAGTGGGGTATTGAAAAGTTCGTCAAGTGAACCTTAGATTAAAATTCGAGTGTAGATGAAACACAATCGGTGAAGTTATTGTTGCAGTTCACAGATGAGTTGTCAAAGCGAACCCCAGCAAACGTATAACTTTGAGAGGAATTAAAAAGCATATAGAAATATATTTTGTCGAATTGTTCCAAGCCATTCACCATCTCAGCTTTTCTACCGATGCCTTAATTATTGAAATGTGAGGGTAAGTCTGGACTTTTGACATACGTCTACAGAATTCAAAGATATAACAATGATTGAAACATTGGAAACGAAGTGATTTATTTCCTCGAACGTTTAGCCTTTCTTCTTACTCCTTAATTTTGAATGCATTTTGTCTGGCCATGCATTAAATCAGAACATGAAATGACTAAATTTCTATTCTTTCTTTTTTTTTCAACAACTTTAAAGTTTCATTTCCTCCATTTCCTCTTTTATTTTGAAATTTCTCTCTTCTCCCAATAGGATCATCCTTTCGTTTTAACAATAAACAATCAACAATAACAAACAATTAATAAACAAACAATAAACATTTCATAGATTGTTTATTGTTTGCAACTGTCAAGTTTTCAAGTTAATTTGATAGCTTTTCAGAAGTAAGCTAACTGAAGATATGTTTGTTATTGAGTAAAGTTACCATTATGAAACAGGATTGAACGAGTTCAAATACAGTATTTTTCGACACTGCGAAATTTCAATTACATTTTAGTTTGACAGATGATAACGATCGTTTCGAAATCAATTATCATTTTAATGCAAAAATAAATCTGATAACGCTTAAAGAGTGTATCTAATAGGAAAGCTTAGAGGTAATTGTTGCTGCTGCATAATTGTTAAATGCACTTTTTAGGTTTTACCAAAATTATGCCGTGGAAATAAAGCGGGAGGAGATAAAAAGAGGGAAACGATTGTTCGGAAGCAGAAATTAAACTCTCGAAAATTTTGAAATTTCCTGAAAATTCCTTCTTTTTTTTCATAAGTGTTTGCAGGTGTCACGCATTTCTTTGATAAATTGCTTTCCAAAGTAACAAATAGCTTTCCGGGATTGGTGCAGTGTTCTCATTAAAAGGGTTATTCACATCCATTATGGAACATGCAAATTGTTTTTAGCAAAAAACGACTGTTAATTATCTCACAGCTGTTGCAGATTTCTTGGCTGTAAAGCAATCGATTGTTTTTGGCATTTAATTAAATGAGGAAAAAAGGACCATTTCATTTTTGATTAGACCGTTTCCACAAAGAATGTTTCTTTGGACTGATAAATCTTGTTGTCCAATCAATGACTTTCATAAATCCAGAAATGGGCATGGTTTTTCGAGAATTTCCCACATTATTTTACTAATACTTATGCTATCTAAACCCGAATAAGCACGCAAAATATTGATTTTTGCTTACTTAGCTTGAAAATATATAAAAATTTGAAAAAACTAGCAATGTTAATGATTATTCATAAGAGCGATTTCCCCAAACCATTGCGAAATTATTCTTGGAATTGTTCGCCAACTTTTGAACTGATATTTCAATATGTTCAAAGCCACTCGATTTTTATTTGAGCAATAAAAAGTTCAATTTGAGGGGTGATAATCTCGTCAGCAAAAGATATACTTTAGTGAATTGGTCTACTTTTTTATTGAATTTAGTCATCTTAGCTATATAATTCTGTTTTTTTTTTACAGAATTATATAGGTCAGGTAACTTAATTATGTTCTCACCTTTACAAACATCTATGCAAACTTGCCAAGTAGTCTTTTTAATCTGAAACGAACTAAAAGGTTTTCAGAATTGACCTCCTGTTCTTCTTCAAGATAGTTTTCTGGAATTTTCACTGAAGCAAAAATGCGAAAAACATTTTAAATATGAAAAATAAGTGTTCTTTTCGTAAATAATTCGTTCCCCAGGGATTCTGAAGTTTTCAAAAAAGCAATCAATTTTGTTGTCCTGTAGGATGTCATAATCTTTCCCAATGAACTTCGAAAGCTTTATCATTTGA